TTCCTCTGAGCCCTCTCAGTCTCTCCCTCCCTCTCCCCTCCTTTGTTCCAGCTTCCTCTATTTGAGAAGAAGAGGTGCCAGGTAAGCCATTAAATGACTTATAGGGAGAAGAGAGAAGCAAGGTCCATGCATTAGTTGATAACTGTACTGTTGGTGGTGGTAAGACTCTGGCAGTAGCTGGTTGGGACCCTGATGCTCCCCCAGCCTGCCTTCCACACCTTCTTCTTGTCTTGCTTTTTTGGCTCCAGCCTCCCGGGCTTCCTCTAGGTTTCTCTTCCATACCAGGCCCCCTCTAGCCTTCACTGGGGACTCTCAACCTAACTGCACTGTCCCAGGTGGCATCTCCTGACACCAGGCCCCAGCTCTGAGGTAGGTCCCCCTTTCCACCATTCTCTATCCCTACATCCTTGCCCACCCTGGTCATGGCCTGTGATAGTGCCTTTCCTGACATCTGTCTCTCCAGCAGCTCAGGAGGGCTGGGATAGAGGCACCTTCACCCTGTGCGTCCAGCATCTGGTGCCCAGCCAGAGGAGAGGGTTGATCTGCTCCTGCTACTTGCCCCCACCTGGCCACCTCAAGGGGCCCTGCTTTGATCTACCTGGAGGGGCTGGAGGGATGAAGACAAATGCTAAGGAATCCATCCCTGAGCCAGTCCTTTCTGGAGAGCTAGCCTGGTCCTACCCCCAGGCTTCCACCCCAGACCCTCCTCCAGAGGCTATGAACTCAGCATGTGGGACTAGAAAGCAGTACACCTGGGTCTCATTACAGCCCAGACACCACTTTCTGCGTGATGTTGAGCCAGTCCTCTGCCCTCTCTGGGTCTTAAGTTTCCTTGGGTCTTAGGGCTGGGGACACATGCTGATGCCTACAAGGTCAAGCAGGTCATTGCTTGGATCTTACATGTCCTCAGGGTTAGGGGATCCTCTGAAGTAGGTGCTGGAAGAAAACTGGCAAGAGCACAACCTGCCTGGGCTAGCCCAGGGGCTTCAGGTCTGCTGATTCCTCAAAAGAAGCTGAAAATCTGAGGTTTGATGAGAAATCTCTTGATGGTTAAATGTTGACAAACAATTCACATTTTAAAATAAGCACTATATGGGCCACTCAGAACATCTCTGGGTAACAGTTTGTGGGTGCTAAGCTAGAGGGGTAGGTCTAGGAGTCCTTTAGGGCTCTCTGGCATTTCCTGCTATCTAGGATTGAAGCTGCTACTTCCTGCAAAGCCTGCCCTGGACTTGCCTCCTGAGGCATATCTGCTTTGCTCCTCTCCAGTGCTACTCTCTTTCCTCCCCAACCAGAGCTCACCCTGCCCTGTGGCTGACTTCACAAGCCCAGGACCAGGCCTGCACTGCCCCTCTTAGGCTGTCTTTCTCAATCTACCAAAGTCTGAGAGGGATTCGAAAAGCAGGGCCAGGACAAAGTAGGTGCTGGGGACCTCAGATCCCTCCTCTGATCAACCCCCAAATTCCACCTCACATAATGGCTCCTACCTCTGTGAGCTCATGCCTCTAACCCTCCAAGATGGAGCTGAGCAATTTCCAGAACCTCTAGCACTATACTGTCTGTATCTACCACTATAAAGAAGGTCACTGACACCCCAAGAAACACTGCTGGTCCAAGGCCACAGTGAAATTGGCAGCAGGTCTGAGGTTCTGTCCATCTCCTAAGCTGTTCCATGTTCCCCCAGGTCTCCTTGAGGGCAGGATTTCTTGCTTGGCTGACAGAGGTGGAAACTGAGGCCCAGAGAAAAGAAAGAAGTTCGCCCAGGGTTAGGTACTTGACTGTCATGGAGGCACACTGCTAAAAATAGCTCCTGGGGCCCAGAATCCTAGGGCTGGAGTTGACATTTTCCTTCTGCCTTGACTGCTGGGCGGTTGCTATGTGCAGCAGCCCCTGACGGTGATGGTGATGCAGATTAGGTGGGAGGGAAAAGGCCCTAGCGTCATCTCCAGAAAGGGGCCTGAACTCCAGTGTTTGGGCTCAGCTCAACTGCTCAGGGCCAGGGCAAGAGATAAGATGAGTTTATACTATGACTCTGAGGAAGAAGGGAGGAGAAAACCAGAGAAAAGAGAAAGGAAAGGGACAGAAAGGAAGGGGAAAGAAGAGAGGGAAGTAGGGAAGGAAAAGGAAGAGAAGAGAGAGGAGAAAAAGGAGATGGGTGACAATGGAGAGGAGGGAGCAGAAGGGAAGCAGCAGCCCAGGGGAGGGATCACAACCAGACTAGAATAGGGCCTCCCCAGGCTCACCACTACGGCAGATGGGGTAATGTCCATGTCACAAAACTAAGGCTTACAGTATGGGGTAATTTGATTAAGATCTTAGAACCAGAAAAGTGTCAGAGCCAGGATTAGAACTCAGGGGTTTAGTCTTGCCCTTCGACGTCTCAAACCTTGAATCACTCAGGCAGCATATCCCCAAATTGTGTATGGCCCCCAAATACCCTACCTCACAATACCAGAAGGGCAGTCTGGTTAAAATGCAGATTCCTGGGTGGTGCCTGTGGCAGGTTTGAACTTGTCCCTGGCCAGCTAAAACAGCAATGACAACTGTATTAAAAAAAAAAAAAAAAGTTGACATTATGGTGGGTGCCTGTAGTCCCAGCTACTTGGGAGGCTGAGGCAAGGGAATCGCTTACGCTCAGGAGTTAGAGTTGCTGTGAGCTGTGACGCAATGGCACTCTACCAAGGGCAACAAAGTGTGAGGCTCTGTCTCAAAAAAAAGAAATGCAGATTCCTGGGCCAGAATTAAAGTATAGTTCAGGAATGGTGGTTTGGGGGCCCTGACACTGTGGCTTATTTAGGGCCTTTCTGGTCTGACCTTCTGGTCCCAGATCCCGGCAGTAACCCTGCAGCTCCGCTATTCAGGATGATTTACACTGACCCTTCCATACCTCCACCCCAACAGGGTTGGGTCTTTCCCCAACAATCTCCCAGTCTCAAGTAGATCCACCAGCTTTTCTTCTGAAAGCCTTCCTTGTGGTTGGAATCCTCCTCCTTTTTAGAGCCCATTGGAGTAACAGCCTTCTCCTCCATCCAAAATTATTTACAGCATTCTATTTCACTTTCCATATGACTCTGCCTGTTTCCCAACCTTTCTCTCTATTAAACTGGAAATTCCCAGAAGGCTGGAGACTTGCCAGTTTAAACAACAATCTTCTGAAGTCTATGACTTCACCTGACCCTCCTGCCAACCAGAAGTGGCTGGGAGAGCTCTGCAAATCAGGAAATTGAGCCTCAGAGAGATTATGACCTACCCAAGGACACAGCCAAGAAAATAAGATTCAGAACTGGGTCTGGGACTCATGTCCAGCTCCAATGTCAAGTTCTGCTTCTGTTTTGTCTCTGATCACCCAAAAATGCCAATAAATCACCTGGAACAGGGATTATGATCCCACTGCCCAGATGAGGAAAGTGAGGCCCAGAGATAAACAAAGCATTCAACACCATCCGTATCCTGTTTTGTTTGTTTGAGACAGAGTCTCACTTTGTCACCCTCGGTAGAGTGCCGTGGCATCTCAGCTCAAAGCAACCTCAAACTTTTGGGCTCCAGCGATTCTCTTGCCTCAGCCTCCCAAGTAGCTGGGACTATAGGTGCCAGCCACAACACCTGGCTATTTTTTTGTTGTAGTCTCATTGTTGTTCAGCAGGCACAGGCCAGGTTCAAACCTGCCAGCCCTAGTGTATGTGGCCAGCACCCTAACCACTGAGCTATGGGCACCAAGCCCCTTATCCTCTTCTGTTTGTACCTGCATTTGGGTCTGAGTCCAAGTGCTGAAACTTTTTTCTTTCTCTTTCTCTCTGGCTAATGGGCATTGCCCAGGACTCCTCAGCATTCTTAGACTGACAGATGAGAGCCTTCATCTGCCACTGGTCCTAGTGTCACTCTGGACTGAAGTGCCTCACATGCAGGTTGAGACTCACTTGCCTGCCTTGTAGCTGACTAAGTGCTCAGAGAAAGAAAATTGGCAAGTACCTAGACACACCTTGGTCACTGTTACTCTGGACTTTATCCTTCTTATTAATGCCCAGCTGGGAAGAAATAACCTGAATGATTTTTTATGAAAGAGTGGAGGAGGGTAGGTCTGAGCCTGGCACAGGCCCAGCCCAGACTGGGCCAGCTGGGAAGGGTGTGGAGCAAGGTGGCTGGGCTGACATTTCTCAGAGGGTTTGCCAAGCCCTACACTTCAGGTGTGGTTTCAATGAGACTCAAGGAAGGCATGGCCCAACTCTGAACTCTGGGATGAAGTGCTAAGCTACCCAGCAGGTGCCCTATGGGGGACCACAAGGGCTTTGGATGGATGGAAAATAAAAAAATGTAACTAAATATGTGTCAAACACTAAGTATCATCAGGCTTTGTGCCGCCCCTCTTCCCTAGTGGATGGGGTTCCATCTAGACCTATTCCTGTGCCCCATCTCTGTGTCATCTCAGACCAGAAAGTTCTTCAGCTGGGTCTCCTTCCGCTTCTGCTTTGTCTTCTGTCCTCCCTACACCGAGGTCCCCCTCCAGCCTCTTGCGCAAGCCACCAGGACCAACCACTTCACCTTAGGGCGAGATAACCTTCTTCACAAACTTTTTTTTCCCCCACCCCCCACCCCTTCACAAACTTTTAATCAAGCCCAGCTGGGATCCTACTTCAGACCCTGGCCCTGAACCTCTGAATCCTCTCTTTTTATTTAATGTTCAAAACACCCTTTAAAATAGCCGTGAGGCCCTAGTTGGCCCTAGTGGCGCTCCGCCTCCGACCTTGCCTGTTTGTGCTCCACTAATAGGGAGTAGGGCTCTGGAGCATACGTAAGGTAGTTGGTGGAGAGGCTACAACGGGGTGTAGCAAGATGTTCAGAAATATGACTTTGTCAGCCCACCGCCTTAATCCTCCTCCTCCCGGCAAGGCGAGCCTGGGAAACCGAGCTCCCACCTCCACCCACTGAGCCCAGTGCAACTCCCCCCACTTCTCGGCTCCCTGCGCTTGACACAGCGCGCCTGCGTGGAAGCGAACCGCGCCCATGGCGCATGCGCAGCGGTCTCTCTGGTTGTATATCTGGGCGCCGGCGGTCGCGGCCTGAGACTGCTGGCGGACAAGGGTAACGAGGGTTCATTTGGATTTCTCGGCTTGAGCGCTCGCCGTCGCCTTAGCCACCGCCGCTGCCGCCGAGTCCCCAGCGCAGGTGAGGGCCCGCGCTCGTGTGTGGCGCCGACCAGGGAAAGACCCCGCGTGTCCGGCCGGGGCATCGCTCCCCTAGCCGTTGAAACCCATCCCCCATTGTCCTAGTCACCCTCCGCCTTCGGGGTCGACGTTTAGCTTCCAGATCATTTGCCTATTAGGCTGCTTAAGTTTCCCCCATTCGATCCCCTCCGGATTGTCCGTGTTTAACCAGCCGCGTTAGAATTACCTGCTCCTAACCCCTCTCGTGCCCTCGACCCGGGTAGCCTTTGAACCCCACTCCCTGAGGATTGTCTCCATTCACCAGACCCAACTCCCTCGATTTTATAGCCCCACGCCTCTCCACTTGCCCCCCCCCCCAACAATTCTCCTCACACACCTACCTTTCTTTATGTTGCTCCTTTTCCAGTTATACCCAGTTTTCCGGGCTTGGGGGGCATAACTCAGGGAAATCCTGGACTCAAGAGCTGGATGCCTTTGGAGGCGGGGGCCAGGACAAAGTTCAGATCTCCAAGAGACCTTCCTGCCTGGATGGATGACAGTGGTTTCTTCCCTGGCCTCACTTGTCCTCCTGGGTGTGTGCCAAGGTGTTTTATTTGCACTGTGCATCTCCCTAAGGAGCGTCCAGCCTCCCAAACCTGTTCTTAACTTGTCCCTTATCCTTCCACCCCTTTGGTTATTTGTCATCAGTATTTACTTCATTTGGTGAGGTTGCTTTGCAGATACTTTTGTATAGACCTGGGGAATGAAGAAGTTGATGACTTGGGTAGAGTCTGATCACCAATCCTGAGTTGAGTCCCACAGTGCTGTCTTTAGACATTTTTGAGTGAGACATGTTAGTATCCCAAGTTATGCCTGGTATAAACTGCAGGTGACACCTGAACCCAGTGACCTTGCAGTAGAATTTGCCTGGTTATTAACAAGTGTTGATGTCACTCATCATTAATCATTAGTCTTTCTACAGGTGCCAGTGTACTTTCCAGACATGGAGACTGTTGTTCGCCGCTGCCCATTCTTATCCCGAGTCCCCCAGGCCTTTCTGCAGAAGGCAGGCAAATCTCTGTTGTTCTATGCCCAAAACTGCCCCAAGATGATGGAAGCTGGGGCCAAGCCAGCCCCTCGGGCACTGTCCACTTCAACAGTAGACTGCCAGCAGATCAAAGAAACCTCTTCAGCCAATGCGAGTAAGTGTCATTGGCAATGAAGGAACATTGGGTATTTGCACTTATTACTAGAGTAGAAGCAGCTCCAGTCCACAGTGGTTGTGAGGGCCACACTCATGGAGGGGTTACTCCGTGCCAGGCTCAGCTGTGTGCATGGATTATCTCCTGTAATTGTCACCCTAACCCCTCAAGGTAGGCACTTTTAGTTTTCAGTCTTTAAAGATAAAATGGTGGCCAGTGTTCCACTTTATAGGTTTCTGGGTTGCATGTCAGTATCTGTTGGGGTTTTAGTGTTTCCTCAGTGCCTCATTTACATAAATATTAAATTGGAATGTTCTATGCCAGGTTTCTCCTTAAATGTTTGGCCTTTGGCTTTTACAGTAGTGATTTTTTTTCTTTAAAAAATTTCTCTTGTACTAAAATGCACATAACATAAACTTTACCATTTTAGGCCAGATGCAGTGGCTCACATCTGTAATCCTAGCTCTGTGGGAGCTGAGGTGGGTGGATTGCTTGAGCTCAAGAATTTGAGACCAGCCTGAGCCAGAGCTAGACCTTGTCTCTAAAAATAGCTGGGCTGTGGCGGGTGCCTATAGTCCCAGCTATTTGGGAAGCTGAGACAAGAGAATCACTTGAGCTCAAGAGTTTGAGTTGCTGTGAGCTGTGACACCATGGCACTCTACTGAGGGTGACAAAGTGAGACTGTCTCAAAAAAAAAAAGAAAATTTGCCATTTTAGCCATTTTCAAATATATAGTTCAGTGGTATTAAGTACATTCATATTGCTATGCAGCCAGTACCACCATCCATCTCCAGAACTTTTTCACCTTCCCCAAAACTCCATACCCATGAAACACTAACCCCCTATTCGTCCCCCAGTGCCTGGCCAGCACCATTCTACTTTCTGTTTCTATGAATTTAATTACCATGAGTACCTTATATGAGTGGAATACAGTATTTGTGGGTGATTTTTTTTTTTTTTTTTGCAGTATTTGGCCAGGGCTGGGTTTGAACCCACCACCTCCAGCATATGGGGCCAGTGCCCTACTACTCCTTTGAGCCACAGGTGCTGCCTTTGTTAGTAATTTTTTAAATATATGTATTTTTATTTCTGTATATAAAGTTTTTTTTGTTTGTTTTTTAGAGACAGAGTCTCAGTTTATCACCCTCGGTAGAGTGCCTTGGCGTCACAGCTCACAGCAACCTCCATCTCCTGGGCTTAGGCGATTCTCTTGCCTCAGCCTCCCAAGTAGCTGGGACTACAGGCGCCTACCACAACATCCAGCTTTTTTTCTTTTTTTTTTTTTTTTTGTTGTTGCAGTTTGGCCTGGGCGGGGTTTGAACCCTCCCCTTGGTATGTGGAGCCAGAGCCCTACCCACTGAGCCACAGGTGCTGCCCATAAAGTTTTGTTTTTATTAAAGACCCAAAAGTTGAATTTAGTTTTGGTGTATTTCTGCTAGGAGATGATGAGGCTTTCCAGATTTCACTTAATCCTATAGAATATTTTAATTTACTGGCTTTTAGGTGTGTTCTCTGGGTGTGGACTTGTAAGAAAGGAATGTTTTTTTCATTAAGGAGGAAGGATTTAATCCTTTGTAGGATTTATTTTCAGGAATTAGTTGCGTCTTTTTTTTTTTTTTTTT